AATAATAGAATTAGACAAATATGTTTTGAGCCATACAATCGATGAATTATCACCATTTATAAGCTATGCTGTAAATGTTAGTGCTGTACCATCTGACCGTAGCTATAGACCCCCTTCAAGAATCACCGTCACTACTCAAATGGCCGCTCCTCAACCAATGGTCAAACCTGATTTTTTCGGCGTTGTAAATATGCAGAAAATACACGTTAGTAAAATGATTTTATTGTAGTAAATACATGATTATAAATTTTGTTTTATCTGTTATATTAGGTTATATTGCCTCAAGCATCAGAAGAATATGGTCCGATATGTCATTATTATGTAGTAGTTGTTCCAGAAAATCCAGACACTGCACTTATGAATCCAGATGAATTTTTAAATCAAAAAGTAAGGATTGCTAGTGTATTTATAATTTATATTTTATTGAGTAATTTATTTAATTGTGTTTTAAATTATAGCTTGTTGAAATTTCCCAACAAGAAGTATTAGCTGAGGGTGAACCATACATAGCAGCTAAATTCCCTCACAGAACCATACCGTGGACATTCTACCTAGGTAACGGCGAAACATATGACGGATTCCTCAATCGAAAACTTGATCAAAATGTGAAGTACAGAATCTTTGTTCGAGCATTTGTAGATACCCCACAAAAAGTAATTATTAATAGTTTAAATTATAATTTTACAAAAAAACTCTAGTTTTACTTTATAAATTTTACAATTGAATAGTGTTAATTTGATTCCCTAGAACATTATTTTCAAAGTCCTCTATAAGTTACATATTTTTAATGTTTATAAATGCAAGACAGATGTTATCATTACAAACATTTTAAAGATTTTAAAGATTTAACTTAATTTTTAAGATACAGATATCATTATTAGGGCCCAAAATTCGATAACCAAAAATTTATTTTTAATTATAGAACACATTATAATTTATTAAATTATAAATACTTTTAAACAGAAATAATTATAGTCTATAGTATATAATTAATATTGAAAGATTTTTAGTTTTAACAAAAAAATATATTGCACACAAAAAATTATTAATATAAAAGTGAGTATTGTTAAAAACATTTAAAAAATTGAATGTATCGTTCCTAGCCATGATTTTAACTTTTTTTAATATTTAATAAAATCTTACTCTAATGATCAGGGTTTGAAACTTCATACATTTGTACATTTCATTGAAAACTGTTTGTTTAAAATCTGATTTGACATTAATTTATTATTGTCTCTGATTTTCTACTTATAAACAGAACTTTAGGAGTATAGGGCTCTCAGTTATAACTTAGTAGCCAAACTGAAATGGCAATTATATATGATCTAATTTCAACTAAACTTTATTTCTTAGCACTTATACACATCTAGTCCTTTTTCTGAACCTATATCATTGGAAATGCGTGAAGTCGGTCCTGAAGAAGTACCTAAGCGACCTGAATTACGAGATATGAACCTTCCTAGCAACACGGGTTCCAGTGGAACGTCAAATGATCATGTCAGTGTCAGAAGCAGTGCTACTCCACCTGGACTTTTATGGCTGGTTGGACCCGTAATTGCTGCAATATTACTGACTGCTGCACTAATTTTATTGTTTGTGGTTAAGAAGTAAGTTTTATTGGATTTTTATATTAACTAAAGAGCTTGTTCTTTGCTCACTCCACTTGCAAACCACCACTTATAAAGACAAAATATAACTATCAATTGTTTATTTATTTTTAGTTGCTTTAGCAATTATATTCATTGAAATTAATAAATATATATATTTATTTTTTTTATATATAACATAGAGAGTGATACTTACACATTTAATATTCCATTTAAGATTTCCTATCATATTGATTTTCAATAGAAATGTCAGATTAAATATTTTATTTAATTTACTATACTTGCATAAACAGGCACAACTATTAAAAATTGTTAGACATTTAGAATAATACTATAAGTTATAACAACAATATCGGCATGCATAATCATAATGATTTTTGTTAAATATTTTTGCTAAAAAGTCACATGATAGTTAATGACCCCTCACTAATTGTATGTATGACATTGTGTGTTCAGGACACCAATAGGCAATACAGTGATAAGGTACGATCAATATTTGTCGTTTCTTACAATTAAATTACTATACGTGCGACTACATCGAATTTATTTTTATCAAATAAAGATACCAAATATTATACTCGTAAAATAACTTAGAATATGTAAATTCGATCAAAAATGATATTTTAATTATAAATAAAAATGAAGTACCTATGCCTTATATTTATAATTCCTTTTTATTATTCATGCTTAATTAAAATTCAATGTTAAACTGTTGTGATATAAATTAAAATATGTTTAATATATCATTATTTAACCAAAAGGGTGTTGAATGTGAGAAATCCATAATTTTTCTTTATGTTACTATGTTAATCAGTGACATAATAACTTTAAAATAACATTAGATGATGTACTATTTCTCTCAAATTTCCAAATTATACAATAAAATTAATACCTAGTATTTTGTTTAAAATGTTTTATCTATAATTGTTGTCAAACAAAATAGCGGTTAGCAGCTCTATCCACTAAGAGGACATTTTACACCCAGCAACAATAGTATTTATTTTACTATTTTAAAATAGCTGAATGTATTGAATATAACAAGTACATTTGATTACTGGTATAAAATACTTTTAAGTTGTAGATATTTTTATAAGTTTTATTTCAAAAATGTTTATGCTCTCTAAAATTAAACATCACTAGGTAGTACAATCTTCATTTTTTTGTTGTATCAATAATGGTTATTAGTTCTTAACAATTACCTCTAGAAATCACTATTGTTTATAACAGCTATTATCATAACTCATAATTTTACTTCATTTTGATAATGTTAGTTATAGCTATCTCTCTAATATTCTTTCAACAAGTTCAAACTAATGTTTATCAATCGTTTTCAGATTATCTAATATTTATTGAAATCATCCATATTGTATATTCTTAATAATATTAATTAATAATTAAAACTTGAAATGAAAAAAATATGATTTTATGTATTATAAAGACATACGTCGTGGAAATAGGACATAAAGATTTAATTGCAAAGAAAATTAAAACAAATATTTATGTTTTACACAAATCTATTTGTTTTATTTTATACAATGACACTATACTTAAATCCATTAATGATAAAATAAATAATTTTTCTTTTCAATAGTCAGTGTTATCATTATAATCATTATACTATGATATTAATAATTAATAAATAATAAATAGAAATACAATTCAATTTATTTTCAATATTATGAACCTTAAGTATTTTATATTTTACATTAGAATTACATTGACAAACTTCGAATTATTATAATCCATTATTGGTACATAGGTATTACACAAAGTACGTGAACATTTTTTTTAAATATTCAGTTATTAATTTTTTTTAAAAAAAAAAAAATATATATTCCATGCCAGGGTTTAAAGTTTAAACAAATAAACTCAATTTATAGGAAAGCGATGGTCGACAATATTGTAAGCTGTTTATTTAATATTTTAATGTATACAAACAAGGCGAATGTATCATTAAACTCTACCTAGAGCGCACTATTGTTATTGTTTAATTTTAGCTGGTCTTTTAAAATGACGACCGTGATAATTATACTAAAATGCGCTCGTGTGTCCCGCAGGCGCCGTCGGCCGAGCAAGTACGGCGAGACGTCGGGCGTGACGAAACCGCTGATCGGCAACTCGCACCCGAACAACGACCCGGTGGAACTGCGCCGGTTGCAGTTCCAGACGCCGGCGATGGTGTCGCACCCGCCGGTGCCCATCAACTACCTGGCGCAGCACATCGAACTGCTGAAGGCCAACGACAACTTCAAGTTCTCGCAGGAATACGAGTCGATCGAACCGGGCCAGCAGTTCACGTGGGACCACTCGAACATGGACGTCAACAAGCCAAAGAACCGATACGCCAACGTGATCGCCTACGACCACTCGCGGGTGGTGTTGCAGCCGCTCCCCGACGGCCCGCCCGGCAGCGACTACATAAACGCCAACTACTGCGACGGTTACCGGAAGCACAACGCGTACGTGGCCACGCAGGGCCCGCTGCAGGAGACCACCGGCGACTTTTGGCGCATGTGCTGGGAGGTGCGCACGTCCACCATCGTCATGATGACCAAGCTGGAAGAACGCACGCGGGTCAAGTGCGACCAGTACTGGCCGGCGCGCGGCTCGCAGACGTACGGGCCGATCACCGTGGCGCTGGTCAGCGTCCAGGAGCTGGCCACGTACGTGGTCCGGTCGTTCCACCTGACCCGGACCGGCGAAGTGGAGACGCGCGAGGTGAAGCAGCTGCAGTTCGGCGCGTGGCCGGACCACGGCGTGCCCGACCACCCGGCGCCGCTGCTGCAGTTCATGAAGCGCGTGCGGGCCGTCAACCTGGTCGAGTCCGGCCCGGTGGTGGTGCACTGCAGCGCGGGCGTGGGCCGCACCGGTTGTTTCATCGTCATCGACGCCATGCTGGAACGGGCCAAGAACGAGCACAGCGTCGACATTTACGCGCACGTCACGTGCCTCAGGGCCCAGCGCAACTACATGGTTCAGGTTAGAGGTCTCGATTACACGTGTAATGAACTACACGGGTAACCGTGTTTTTACACGAGACGGGGTTAAGGCCCGTGTAATAAAAATACCCGTGTATTTAAATACCCGTGTTTTTTAATACCCGTGTATCTAAATACCCGTGATCTTGAATACTCTTATATTTAAATAAAATCATATTTTACTACTTTGCAGTTCTGACTTACGATTGATCAATAATATTAATAAATTATAATTAGTAAATAAATGTGTGTATGTAATTGATGTTATTTACGTGTAATTGATAATGAAAAGTATTTGCATGATTATTAAATAACAAAATAACAATAAACATGTATATAAATATATTAATAAATTAATAAATTCTAATAATAACAGTTTTAACAGTAATAACAATATTAAATTAATCAACGAACAGTAGATGATAACCCATATACTTATACAAAAGTTAACAAATACAATATAACAAAGCAATCACTTACAATCTATGAAGTTATAATAATTGTTTGTTCTGGTAAAGAAAAATCAGCATGTTTACGGTCTCGGGCGCCAAACAACTTCTCTTGGCCGTCACTATGTTTCCAGCGGCTGAGAAACATCTTTCAGAACTAACTGACGTTGCTGGTATCCCTAAATATTTCGTTGCCAGAGCAACAATTAGTGGATATTTTGATGCACGCGTCTTCCACCATTCTAGTGCATCAAAATCAAATTTTAATTGTGGTTCTGCCAAGTAATGTTGATACTGAATGTCAGTATCAGCTATATTACAATTTACTTCATCACCGAACAGAAATTCAAGAGCACCGTGATGTTTAGTGACAGGTGTTTCAATTTGCACATCGCAATTAATTTCAGCTATTTCTTTTATCAAATGTTTAACCCGTGTCCGAATTTCTTCTCTTGCGTCAACCGCTTCATGCTCTAAGTCTTTGAATCTTGGGTCGAGGAAAGACGCTATTTGCCTAACAGACACGACACTAGAAGGACGCCACAATAATTTAAAACGATCTGATAGTTCCCTAATTACAGTAGTTTTAAAATGTTCAGTTATTTCATCATCACTTACATTATGCTTTAAATGCTTTTCTATAACTGCGTTTATAAGAGGCCTAACCATTGAAATAGAGCAATATTTTTCGCCACAAAAAACCGTGGTTATAATTTGTAGAGGTTTAAGCAATTTAATTAACGTTTCTATATCTGTCCATTGGTGCTCTGTCACTTCAAATTTGTGTGCTATTGCTGCTGTAGTCAACGAACGATCAGCAAGAACATTTGAAATTGGGCACCTATTTTTATAAAGTCGATCAAGCATCATATATATAGAGTTCCATCTGGTTTTACAACTTTGAATTAAGCTTTCTGTTGGCAAACCTAGTTGGTCTTGCTTATCTTTTAAATACTGACTAGCTAAATTCGAATTCTTAAAATGACAAACAATTTTATTACATAATTGAATTAAGCTATCTATTTTATCATATTTTAGGCCATTATTGACAGCAAGTTGTAATGTATGTGCGGCACATGTTAAATCATCCTTTTCGGTAATATTATTCAGTAAATTAACAGCATTCAACACATTTTTTGCATTATCAGTCACTACTGCCATAATTTTTTGGTCGATTTCCCATTTATTAAAAGTAATTTCTAATTAATTCGATAGATTTGAAGCTGTATGACGATCGTCTAATTTGTGAGTTGTCAGGGTGTATGATTTTGGGCACCATTGATCATCAATAAAATGTGCAGTAACTGTTATGTACGATTCTTGAGCTATTGATGACCAACAGTCAGATGTACAACTTACACTCCTGGCATCTTTAAGTTCTTTTTTTATTAGAACTTCAACCGACGATTTGAATCCTTTGAGTCTCTGTTTGATAGCACCTTCCTTGCATATTATATAATTTGGTTCTACTATGCTCATAAATTGTTTAAAACCGGAACTAGAACAAAAGAATAGAGGTATTTGATTGATTGCGATCATCTTAGCTAACGCCTGATGGATTTGTTCTGTTCTTTCAGAACTACAACTTCGGTTTATTTCAAAGTTCTTATCAACATAAGTTCTACGTCGTTTTCGGGGTTGTGGTCCACAAAATTCTGATAATGAGGATGAACAATTAGTATTTAAATTATTTGAGGATGACGATGAACACTGTGTTACACTATCAACTGTATTACACTCTTCAACTTCATCATGAGGATTATCATCACTAGGAAATAAATTAAAGTACAACAATAATAATTACAATTACTTGAATCAATTTTATAGAAATAGTAAATGAATGTTAAGATTAATACATTATGAAAAGCGTAAAATATATTATATTATTATAACTTATATATGTATTAATCATTATTAATTTTATTGACATTTATAGAATAAAAAACTTAAAAATTGTTGAAATATTTTGAAAATTTTATCAAGTATAGGAATTGATAACATAAATATTTTGTGTAAATTTCAAGCTTCTACAACTATTTGTTTTTGTATTACAACAAAATAAGAATATCGGTACAACAGAATTTGAGTGAATATCTAATATTGTAATTCAAATGCTCATAAAAATTTAATTTGACTTTCCGGGGTAAATTTTTTTTTGATAAAAGTAGACAAACTCATGAAGAATTTTGTATAAAATTTTCAAACCTTAGATTTAAAAATAAAAATTTTTATGAATTTCTTACTCAAAATAAATTGCAAATTTTCGTGATTTTTACGTATTTTGTCAAAATTCGAACTTTCAATGCTTATAAAAAAAAAAATTGTGACTATGAATTTTTAATATTTTTAACTACTATCGCAACAATATATTAGAAGTCCTGCATCAAATTTTATAAATCTATAATTTTGTATTATATAATATATTTGATGAAACAATTAATTTTATCATTATATTACTAGAGCTTTTCAAATCGTCAATCCCGTTCATATTTTATTTGAATTATTACAAATTATTACATACCTTGGATTTTGAGTATTTTTGCTTATATTGTGTATCAGTTTTAAATGTCTGCCGAATGATCCCGTTGATCCACCAGCACAACAAAACACTTTATTTGAATTATCGTCACACAGGTCACAAAAAGCTTTATCGCCTTGGCGTTTGCCGTATTGCCATACCCAACTTTTATAACGGTAACTCATTTTTCGAAGAAAAAATATTTAATAATATGTATAATATTAGTGTCGAAACTACACTTCACATAGCAATAGTGAATAGAGGCACAATGAGGTATGGAACAATTTTAAAATAACCAACAATTTTTAGATTTAGATACGAGGCATACCTGTGTAAAATGGAATGCAATGAAATTGGCGATAAGATAGTTTTGCGATTATTTATGCTTTAATCTTAAAACCAGTTTAAATATTACTATTTTATATATTATTACACTTATAGTTTATCTTGTACCTATATAATATTATACGATAAACGAATGCATCTTACTAAGCATAACTAAAAACTATCCATAACATCACTAAATAATAAAAGATAGGTAGGTATTTTTAAAAGCTATACAATTTTTATTATTAATTAATAACCAATTAAAAATTATTGGATTTCATTATAGGTACACGGGCAATGATAAATAAATACACGGGGGTATACACGGGTATTAAATTCACGGGTTTTAATATATTTTTTTCCCGCGTATCCGGGCTCCGTGTACCCGTGTATTCTAATACCCGTTCACAACCACGACCTCTAATCCAGGTTACGCGCGCGCGTCATCGCATAATGCGCCTACTGTCGGATGTTGGTTGGGATAAAGCGAGAGGACGAAGGCGCGTTTCGTTTTCAGCACTTGAAATTATTTACGTGGCATGTCCCCTCGTCGCTCCCCCAGCTAACTAGTACAAATATAAAATAGGGGTGGTACTGACGCGTATCTGAACGTAAAGTTTGACGCGTGGGTGTAATACTTGCGCGGAAAACGTCGTTGTTAACCGCCGTTGCTCGTTTATAATCATCGGTGGCACAATAAATTAATTATAATCTTTTTTTTTTTTTTGTCACTGCACCCGACAGACCGAAGAACAATATATATTCATACACGACGCTCTTTTGGAAGCCGTCACGTGCGGCGAAACTGAAGTGTCCGTGCGCAACTTGCCCATGCACATTCAACAGTTGTCCCAGATGGAAGCCGGAACGACAGTAACCGGAATGGAACTCGAATTCAAGGTACCTAATAACAGTAATCGATTTCGGTGTATAAATATAATTTTTTTTTTTTTTTTTCATGAGAGAAAAGGAGGGGTTGATAGTGACGATCCAAATGTTTATGTGTGTTTTTTTCTTACCGTTTAAACTTTTAGACGTTTTAGAAAGTTTTAAAATTAATGTTCACTTACACAACGGTATATTAGACTAATATGTAATGTGTATAGACTGATAATAAAACACTTCAGTGACGCGTAAAAACTTGATTAAGAACTTGCGGTTTCTAAATCAACTTAGATGGATGCTAGAATCTTTCATAAAAAAAAAATAAAAAAATTGTTAATCGAATAATAATTCATATATTTTCACCAGGAGACAATTCTAACGATGCCTATTCTTGACGTGTTTTGGAAATTATATTACTAGCATCTTTACTTTATAAAATAAATATTGTTTTTATAAACGTTAAGTTGATTTCATAATATTTATTTTATTTTTATTTTTTGGTAATCAGACTTTTGTGATACTGTAGTTTGTAGAAGTTTAATAAATTGAATGGTTCCCCGTTACCGTGTAAAAATGAGCCATACTTATACTTTCTTAGACCTTATATTACTCATGTATTTATATGTATAGTATAATATTATGTCGATTAAAAAGAGCCATATCATAATGATTATGTCTATTTTTTCAGAAATTAACGTTGGTCAAAAGCGAATTCTGTCGATTTGTCAGCGCCAGTCTGCCCGTAAACAAGCCAAAAAATCGTTTGGTACACCTATTGCCGTACGAAAATACTAGAGTGTGCCTAAGCGGTGGGTCGTCTCGGGGCCTGGAAGGTTCAGATTACATAAATGCCAATTTCATTGACGGGTACCGGCAGCGGGGCGCTTATATCGCGACACAGGGACCGCTGCAGATCACCACTGACGACTTTTGGCGCATGTTGTGGGAACACAACTCCACCATCGTAGTCATGCTCACCAAGCTACACGAGTTGGGAAGGGTAAGACAAATACGTATAGTTATAGATAAATAGCCCTGATATCACGGTTAACAGACTGTAACCAACAGTGGTGATAGAAACGATGAAAAAATTTTGTCCCGGGTCCCATTTCAGGAAAATTTTTATCAAGCTCCCTAAAAATGTTTAGATAAACTTGTATCATATTTTAACAACATTTAAATGTTGATACAAACACAAATTTGTTCTAATACAAATGATTAAGATACCTCGGTGTTACCAATTAGAATATTAAAGCCTAAATAATCCTTCTTATTTTTCTTTATTAAATATAAATGATAAATTTTAATTTGTCATTGTAGTTTCTAATTATATATTTTATACAGATACTTATTCGGTTATCCTAAATGATTATCAGTTATTACTCATCTGTTGCGATACCGAAATTTGTCATCACAATGATCGGTGTGGCATAGCAAAGTTGGGCGATGAATTTAGTTATTTCTTATAACCTATGGTGTTATATTAAATTAAAAGCTCAATATTACCGTTATTATTCATTACTAAGCATTTTTACTTTTTACTATAAAGCGTCATATAACTGCCAATTAATTTAATTACCGGTATTATTATTTTAATACTAAAGACATTGAGTTCTCTTTTAACAGCATTGACAAATATCATGAATTTAAAAGATCTTGGTAGATCACATTTGCTTAAATTTTGAAAATCTAAGCGACTATTTTTTTTTTATCGTATATCATAAATTAAAATAATGAGGGGCGACTCCCGTAGGTTAGGTTCCTGATCTCGAAAAACTTTGGGACAGCTCTGGCATTCAAGATCTGATTTAAAGAAATCTCAACTAAATTTAGGGTAGGCCCCTACATTTATCCATGCATTTAAATTATAAAGAACATATACTTAATATGCTTAAAAAATATCCACCAAGCGTTTATAAACTTAAACTATGTTAGAAGAATCACTTTTTATTTTAATACATTTAGTAACTTTATTGTGTCATATAAATATTAATTTAGCACAGTATAAACGTGTTTTACGTAGTTCCGTTTGTTTGAAACGCTAATGTTTCTAAAAACACGATTTCCCTTTCAAGGCAATAAATTGCATGATTATAGAGAAATAAAATTATTATTTGAAAAAATTTGAAATTATTGTTCTTCAGCTATAATATAAGGGCCATACAGCTGCTAAGAAAAAATATTTATAAAAATTATATTTTCAACATATTTTTTTTTATTTTGTTAAAAAACATGTATCATATAATATGTGCTATATTATATTATGACTTATGGGACCTAGTTAGTACTCGCTAAATCCTTAGGTTTATCTTTATTTTATATGTGCCATTTTGTAAATCTATGCCCGAGTGTAGCACAAATACAATCGACTTTCCGTAAAGTCATCTTGTATGAAATAATATTATAAATGGATAATTGTGTAAATAAACTGTAACCTTAAATAATATGTGTATATATAAATATACACATTATATTTATATACCTACTCATCTCTTCTGTAAACTTTATGGAACAAAAACACTAGCTGCCAATTTATGGTACAATATTTATTCTTACAGCTGTGTAACGTTTTGTATTTTATACCTAACCTAACCACAAAATATTATACGAATAAATTACGATGAAGGCATAACGTTAATTTTAACAATGCTTTAATCTGTTGATCGCACAATCTAATCGTACACTTTATTTCATTACTCGTTATAAAACTTTAAACAGAAATGTATAAATCATTTCAGTTCAGAAAACTATTACATTTAATTACAAGATGCCGACAACTGTTTTTGCAGTACTTTGTAAACAAAAAGTTTATGTGAACATAGCGGAACGTTGAACTCAAAAGTTTAAACGTCATTATATATTAATGACTTTGAATGTTAAACTTTTTTAATTTGTCAGATATTCGTGTATCGAGATATTGTACTTCGTATAAATTTAGTTTCGGTTAGTGGGGAGAGGGTGGGATTTTACGTCTTGCTTAGAATTAAGTCTTTGTACCATAGTTACTGTAATCAAGTCATCATCATATAATTTATTGTCGATTTCTTACAGGAAAAGTGCTATCAGTACTGGCCATCCGAGCGATCTGTCCGGTACGATACGTTCGTCGTCGAGCCCATAACCGAATACAACATGCCACAGTACATTCTCAGGGAGTTCAAAGTGACCGACACGATCGACAACGGTTCGCGGACCGTCAGACAGTTCCAGTTCACCGACTGGCCGGAGCAAGGCGTGCCCAAGTCGGCCGAAGGGTTCATAGACTTTATCGGGCAGGTGCACAAAACGAAAGAACAGTTCGGCCAAGAAGGTCCGATCACCGTCCATTGCAGGTACTTACATAAAAAAACAATTATTTAATGTATATATTTTTTTAGTTGATATTCAAAATAAATTATTTTTTCTATGGTGCAATAAACAATAAATTTGTTATGCGTTCGTCCAGCACGAGACGATGACAACTTTAAATAAAATTAAATACAACACCCGTTTCTTGGAAAAATCTTTATATATATTTTAATTTAAAAAATAAAATGTTTAACAGTGGCGGCGTGGGAAGGACAGGCGTGTTCGTGTCACTGAGCATCGTATTGGAGCGGATGCAATGCGAGGGCGTAATCGATCTCTTCCAGACGATCCGGATTCTGCGGACACAGCGTCCGGCTATGGTTCAAACGGAGGTTTGTCTTACCATAATAATAATATTATAATACCTATACTAATATTATATCCTCGCTCAACTTCCGTCGAACAACTAAATACACTCACTCGCTGATTGTTGAAATTATGGTCTTAAGCTATTTTATCGATTTTATGGATTTTAGCAACCCTCTAAGAGTTTAAATATTAATTATTATTATTTAAATTGATATCCTTTTCTAAAATCAATGCAAGTTCATACATATTATGTTATTTGATTATGTCTATATTTTACTATCGGTTAATTTGAAATATTACCATGAATTAACAACAAATAATTGGAAAAAATGACTAGAAGAAAGAGCTATATATAGGGTGTACTCGGCACCGTTATATTTTCTTATTACCTTGTTGACCCATAATAGCATAAAATATATTATACAAGATTCATAATTCGTATAGTATAACGCATAAAGAGGTAATTTATATTTATTGTTTATAGAGTAGAAGGTATATATTATTGGTGTGCACAGAAAAACTATTTCCAACTCATAACTTTTCAATTCGATTATAGTTCAATAAAATAATAAGTATATACAATCCTTTAACCCCATACATAATGTGTACGCGTGTATTTTCTACGATGAAGACAATGTTAGGTTCCGCACTTCGAAATCTTTACCGCGATGTAAAAACATTAGAATGCTTAAGTGTCGGTTTCCGTTATTGATAAAAAAAAAAAAAAACCTCAATCATTGTTTCCGCTGCTCTAAAATCGTTTTTTGTAAATTTTTTTTTTTTTTTGCCACGCAGGAACAGTACCAGTTCTGCTATCAAGCGGCTCTCGAGTACTTGGGATCATTCGATCAATACTCTGACTGAGACAGGCCAGACGTGTTCACCTCCATTGAGCACGCGGTTTGAGAAAACAATACAACGTAACACGTATTAGATCGTTACGTTTACAACGCGCACGTGGAACGCCGCTGTCGCCGCCACATAGATCATTAATACTATTATTATTACTATTATTATTATTATTATTATTATTATTATTATTATTTTAGTCTGCTGTGTATATATTTATATATATATATATAGACATATATCGTAATGTATGTATAACGTAATAGTCTTACGCGCACTCGCACACAGTTAGTGTTGTTTGCAGTGTTCGTCTGT